GCATAAAGGATCTCAGAACAGCTTTCTACGACCAATTTTAAAAACCAATTAGTTCAAGTAACTGAATAATGCCAAACAATCGCAGTATCATTTATATTGTAATATTTGTTTTTCAGATCCTGGATCTGTTGATTCAGAAAGATGGAGAATTCCAAGAAATAGTAAGAGTAGCAATGGAACAAGGCAAAATCCAAGAGGAAATGCATCTTCTGGAGAAAGAGGTGGAAAAAAGAGATGGTGACATCCAGCAGTTACAGAAACAGCTCAAAGAGGCGGAACACATATTGGTGGGTTACAGCTACTTGCAAATGTACAGACTTAACAAGTCTTAAAACCTGAAGCAGACTTTTCGGTTGAATATTGGGAATTCACAGATAATTGAAGGTTCCCTTATCTTTAACTTTACCTTTCTAAGGTTTCAGTCAGATGTTGTAAATGAATCTAATCAAGTTCTCAAAATGTGGAGATAAAATATGGTTTTTTCTACTTCATAAATCTCTTGACACTGTTTCGTGGGAGCTATAGAACTGGTTACAGCACAGTTGGAAGCTGTTCAGTCCTCAAATCAATGTTCCCTTGAACAATTTAGCCAACACTTTTATTCTTTCCCTGTAACTTTGTAAATGTTTTCACTTTACGTGCTTATCCAATTTCCTGTTGAGAAACCCGGATGAATCTCCATCCATGCCCCCTTCAATCAGTGAATTATAGATTGCAAGCAATCACTTTAAATACGTGTCACCTGGTTTCTAATGCTTCGACCACTGGGAACAGTTTCTGCATACCTACTGTGTAGACCCCTCATCGTTTTGAACACCTCTACCACACCTGCTCTCAATCTTATCTTCTCTAAGAAGAACAACTTCAGCCTCTCCAGTTTAACCAGCAAGTGAAGTGTCTCATCCCTCGAACCATTCTTGTAAATATTTTCTGCACCCTCTCTGATGCCTTCACATCGTTCATAAAGTGTGGTGCTCAGAATTAGATGCAATACCGTATCACTATTCTAATTTATTTTTGAAACATCATCATGACCTCCTTAGTTTTGCAATCTGCTCTGCCACCTTCAACACTTTGTGCACATATACTTCACGAAGTCCTTCTGCTCCCACATAGTGCATCTCCTTTTTTTCCTACCAAAATGCATTACTTCACATTTCTGTGAATTAAATTTCCCCTGCTGCATATCCATCCACTCCACTGTCGACTTGAAGTTTATCACCATCTTCCTCACAGTTCACTATATTTTCAAGTTTGTGCCACCTGCAAATTCTTAAATTGTGCCCAATACAACCAAGTCTAAATCATACATAAATTTTAAAAAATGTAATGGTCCTACCTAGTACATATGCTTGGAGGACTTCACTAAGAATATAAGAAAGGCTTGCTGACGCCCATTAGTGTGCACACTAGCAGTGACGTTTCTCATAAATATATTTAAACAAACAGTAACATCTAAGAGTGAAAACAAGAAGTGAGAATATATTGTGTAAGAGAAAGTGTTAAACATAGGATTTTAATTTAATTTTTTAATAATTAGCATAATATTGCACAGGCATGTGCATTTGGAAATAATCTGTAGTGAGCATACTGTGTCGGTGCGGATTATTTGGATATTTGTGTCGGCAAACATATTGTATTGCAGAAGTAAGTTTGTGAAATAGAATAGACAAGATGGTTCATAAAATTTTGGTAGTTGTAAATTATTGACTCCATTATCTTGGCTGTCCATGCTAAGAAATTGCTGCAGATGGTAAGAGGATATAGTTCATATCAGTTAGTTTTTGTTTGAAATTCTAAAGTTCGTTCATTAAGTGATCAGTCCCACCTTGGAAGGAGCTTTCAATTAAACTTTTTTCAGAACATGTTATTGCCCACAGCCACACTCTCAGCTTGTTCTTCAGTTTTATGCCTTCCATTTTTGTACTTCATGTACCTAATTCAGTGGCCTAACTTTTTGCTTCTCAACGTGTACATTCAATCAGTTATATTTTCCAGTGGGCTTTCATGCTGTACTTGCAATAGTTGCATTTCTCCATTGATTAGCCCCTTCAGATAAACGTTTCGCTTCAGTTATCCTACAGGACTGAAGTTGGCTGACTTTGAACATCAGAATTTTGTTTTCATTCAACAAGCTATCAATTGTAAAAGTCTGATTCTTTTGGCTGTGCTGCATATGGTCATGGGACATACCTGGTTCCTTCTTACTTTCAGTCTATCATTTTTCCAGACATATAGGACAGTATCATAAGTTAAATGCTTGTCTTTATTATCAGACTAATTACTTTAGCTCATTGAAAGTCTTCAGATAGAATTACTCACTAAGATGCCATAGAATTCATCTGAGCCTATGACTATTATGTGGATACTATTTTGATCTTCATTGCATCTTACTCTTATTTTTCAGAAATTTGTTTAGAACCTATGTTAATATGTAAGCTTAACTTAATGTTTTTAAAGTTGCCCTTTTTCAAGATTTCTCAATTAATGGGGCTCCTTAACCAGTTTAATAGTTGCTGTAGAATAGCCACATTTAAATCTGCTCCTTTGGTCTATACTTAGAAAAAGTGAATTTGTACCTGTTAAATAAAGTACTAATTGTGTTCATTCTTTACAGGCGACTGCTGTGTATCAAGCCAAAGAGAAATTAAAATCGATAGAGAAAGCAAGGAAAGGTAGACATTTTCAACTGGAAAGAAACTTTGAACCCCATTGCAGTTACTGAACTGCAAAGACAATTAACAAAGGTCTAATAATAAGACTTATTTCTGAATGAAGTTGTTATACTTAGAACATAGAATATAAGAACTAGGAGCTGGATTAGGCAGTTCCCCTTGAACCTACTCTGCCATTTAATAAAATCAGTCTCATTTAATTTCATTTCAGCCTCAATTCCACTTTACTGCCCGCTGTCCCAAATCCTTCAACCCATCACTACTTAAAAATCTGTCCATCAGCTTCTTAAATTTACCTAATATCCCAAGATCCAGTGCACTCTGGGGTAGTGAATTTCACAGATTCACAAGACTTTGAGAGAAATAATTTCTACTTGTCTGTTTTAAATATGCTATACCTTATCCTAAAACCATTTCATTCTAGATCATAAATATGCTATTGAATGCTTTTGGATTAGTGTGTGCTGATACTAATTTTTTGATATTTGTGAAGGCTCTCTGCAATCAGTACCAGTGTTAATGCTCTGATAACCTAAGGTTAAATTCTTCTCTTGTTTTAAAAATTAATTAACGGGAATGTGGGCATCACTGGCTAAGTCAGTATTTATTGCCTATTCCTAATTCCCCTGCAGAAGGTGCTGATAAGCTGCCTTCTTGAACCATGCAGATCTTGGTGTAGGGACACCTACAGTGTTTGGAAAAAAGAGTGAGTTCCAGGATTTTAATTCAGTGTCAGTGATGGAACGCCGATTATAATTCCAAGTCAGGATGCTGAGTGGCTTGGAGGGGAACTTGAAAAGATGTCATGCATCTGTTAACCTTGTCATTTTAGGTGACTAGACATTGTGGGTTTTAAGTTGCTGTTTGCGGAACCCTCTTGCAGAAGAATTTCTGATAGCATACCCTGTTTAGTTTTTACATTAGAGGACATAATTAAAACATCCTTTGTAGCAAGCTTTTTGTAATTCTCTTGAAGTTTTCTGTAGGGTTAGTTGTACTTTATAAATGTGTGTATATATTCATTACACAATCACTATAATGTAACACTTTGTGTGCTTTGGATGTCTGGTGAATAGCTGAAATGTGACCTGCGATAGAGTTAGCATTAGTGTTCTGGCTTCTTGTGTGAGTAAATACATTTTTTAAAAATTCAACAATATTTTTTCTGGTGTGGCAGCTAAACTTTTACTGTATTTTGAAAGATCAGATCAGTAAGAAGTTATGCTTCTGTTTTCTTTGCAGGTGCCATCTCATCTGAAGAGCTTATTAAATATGCACATAGGATAAGTGCTAGTAATGCTGTAGCAGCCCCATTGACGTGGGTTCCAGGTACCAATTTAAATGTTATTGCTCATTATTTTGATGAAGAGCTATTCTTGATGCATTCACAGCTCAAAAGGAGATCATTTTACCTGTACCAACTATCTCTGAAGGAGTTGTCCACTTGTTCCCATTTTTCTGCTATTTCTCCACACCCTTTTAAAAGTTTTGTTTTTCAAATATTTATTCACTTTTATTCCTTTGAAAGCCATAATGGATTCTGCTTGCACCACTGTTTCTGGCCTGGTATCCATATCATTGAAACTGTGTTTGTAAAAGTAAATAGTTATGCAAACATTTGATTGTTTTCACGATGATCTTAAATAGTTACTAACTTGACAAAGGGTGGATGTAGATTTTCCGGATTTACTTACAAAATCCTCTTTCTGACATGTTCTACAATGGTGTATTCCTTTGACTATCTGTTGTTTAAAATAATGAGTTGCTAGATTCCTCAGCGAAAGTGGGAAGTATTGTGTGATTTCTGTACCATCATTATGATACTTGTAAGTGATTTTTTTTAAATCAAAAGCATTCCAATTTCTAATGAATTATTCTCTTTAAGGCAAATTGCTATCAACAGGTTTTGTATAATGGGGACAAGAACTGAAGTTTACTTCAGTAACCATTAAACTTATTACTATGCTTCCAATTGTAGTATGCTGTGCATAACTGAGGACTCTGAAGGTTGTGTCGCCTGCTTCGTACCAGAGATAAAGTCATCACCCCACAGCTGAGTGTAAACTTTGAAGACTTGGATGTGAATAATTCTTAGCATTATGCATTTGATATAGGTGATCCACGGAGACCTTACCCTACTGATCTGGAAATGAGGAGTGGTCTTTTGGGACAGCAAAGCAACCTTTCTACCAATGGCGTGAATGGACATTTACCTGGGGATGCATTAGCTGCAGGCAGATTACCAGGTAAAAGCTGTTGACAGTTTACTTAAAAAAATTATAAGACAAAACAAACTATAATTCCATGTAGGAATCTAGATTGGTACTATTGACTATGAAATGAAGGTTAGGCCGCTAGATCTTTCTAGTTAGCTTATTTTGTGTCATTCTTTGATCAATGATTTAAAGTCGTTTGGCAGATATCGTCATATCCTGATTTAGTTGCGAAAGATTGTCATGGGTAGTTTCATTTTCCACTCAGTGCTACTTTAGCTAATCACAGCTGTTGTGGTGATAGGACTAGGAGTTAAGAAGGGGAAATCCTCTTCTACTTTATAACAATCAGAATCCGAAATTGCATTTGCATGACCATAGGAAGAGGATTGGCTCTGCTGTCTATTGTGATTAGCGGCAAGCACTCATTTCAAGGTTCATATGATTGGCCAGTTAGGTATTAGAGACGAATAAAAGAAGTGAGTACTCATTCATGCATGTTATTGATCACAAAGGTAAATAGTAGGAAGGTCATGTGATAAGACTTTAGAAATCTGCAATCTCCTTTCTCCCAAACCCCTCATTTTCAAAGTAATAGACTCCTCTTGAATTACTTGTGTTTCTGCCCCCTTTGTAATTGTCATTAATGTTCCAGAGATTGGATCATTTGAAGCCAATTGTACATTTGACATTGTTCTTGTTTTGCATACAAAACATGCTGTTTTCTTGCATGTGCACAATGAATATGATTCTATTGATATTTTGATATTTACATTGATGTGAGGTATATGATTTAGAGTCACAGAATCAAAAAGCACAGAAACAGACCCTTTGGTCCAACTCGTCCATGCCAACCAAGTTTCCTAAACTGAACTAGTCTCATTTATCTGCATTTGGCCCATGTCCCTCTAAACCTTTCTTATCAATGTATCTGTACAAATGACTTTTAAATGTTGTAATTGTATTCACCTGTACCACTTCCTCTGGCAGCTCGTTCCATTTATGCACCAACCTCTGAAGAAGTTGCCCCTCAAGTCCCTTTTAAACCTTTCCCCTCCCACCTTAAACCTATGCCCTCTAGTTTTGGGCTCCCCTACCCCAAGCAAAAGACTTTGGCTCTTCAACTTATCAATGCCACTCATGATTTTTGAAACCTCTACAAAGTCACCCCTCAGCCTCCTACACTTCAGGGAAAGAAAGTCCCAGTCTATCTAGCCTCTCTATATAATGCAAACCATTCAGACTCAGCAGCATCTTTTGAAATCTTTTTACAGTCTTTCCAGTTTAATAATATCCTTCCTATAACAGTGACCAGAATTGTACGCAGTGCTCTAAATATGGCCTTACCAACCTCTTGTACAGCCATAACATGATGCCCCAACTCTTGTATTCAATGCTTTGATTGATGAAGGCAAGCATACCAAATGACATCTGTACCACCCTGTCTACCTGTGGCACCACTTTCAAGGAACTAAGTGCCTGCACCTCTCTAATCAAAAACATTCCCCAGGGTCCTACCATTAACTGTATAAGTCCTGCCCTGGTTTGTCTCACCAAAATGCAACACTTGGCATTTATCTGAATTAAACTCCATCTGCCATTCCTCAGCCCACTGACTCTGTTCATTAAGATCCCATTGTACTCTTAGATAACCTTTCTCACTGTCCACTATACCACCAATTTTGGTGTCATCTGCAAACTTACTAACGATGCTTGCTATATTATCATCCAAATTGTTTATATAAACTGTGGACCCAGTACCGATCGTTGTGGCACACAACTAGTCACAGGCCTCTAGTCTGAAAAACAACTCTCTGCCACTACTCTCTGTCTGCTACTGTCAAGCCAATTTTATATCCAATTGGCTTGCTGTCCCTGGATCCCATGTCATCTAAACTTAATAATCATTCCATAATGCGGAACTTTGTCGAAGGCTTTGCTAAAATCCATGTGGACAACGTTTAATTTTCTGTCTTCATCCGTCTTCTTGGTCACCTCTTCAAAAAATACAGTCAAGTTTGTGAGACATAATTTCCCATGCACAAAGCCATGCTGACTATCCCTAATCAGTTCTTTCCTCTCCAAATGCATGCAGATCCTGTCTCTCAGAATTCCCTTCAACAACCTACCCTCCACTGACATCAGATTCACTGGTCTATAGTTCTCTGGCATTTCCTTGTAGCCTTTCTTAAATAATGACACAACATTAGCAATCCTCCAATCTTCCAGCACCTTGCCTGTCGCTGTCGATGACACAAAAATCAGCTAGGCCTGAATGACAATGTCCTGGGATACACTGGTCTAGGGGATTTATCTACCTTTATGCATTTTAAGAACTCCAGCACCTCCTCTTCTATACTGTGGACTTTTTTCAAGAGGTCAGAATTTATTTCCCTAAGTTCTGAAGCTCCCATGTTTTTCTACGCTGTAAATACTGACACGAAATACTTTAGTATCTCCCCCATCTCCTCCAGTTCCACACATAGGTGGCCATGCTGATCTTCAAGGGGCGCTGTTCTCTCCCTTGTTACTCTTTTTTCCCTTAATGCATTTGTACTATCCCTTTGGATTCTCCTTAATCCTGTTTGCCAAAGCTATCTCATGTCCCCTTTTTGCCCTTCTGATTTCCATCTTAAGTGTACTCCTATACTCAAGGCATTCACTTGACTCCAACTGTCTATACCTGATGAAGCCTCCTTTATCTTGACCAAAGTCTCAATAGCTCTAGTCATCCAGTGTTCCCTATTCCTGCTAGCCATGCTCTTCACATTAGCAGGAACATGCTGTCCCTTAACTCTCGTTATTTCGCTTTTGAAAAGTCCTACTTGCCATATGTTCCTTTACCTGCGAACAGCCTTCCCAGTCAACTTCTGAAAGTTCCTGTCTAAAACCATCAAAATTGGCCTTGCCCCAATTCAGAACTTTAACTTGTAGACCAGGCCTATCCTTTTCCATAACTGTTTTAAAATTGATAGAATTATGGTCACTGGTCCAAAGTGCTCCCCAACTAACATCTCAGTCACCTGTCCTGCCTTATTTCCCAAGAGGAGGTCAAGTTCTACTCTTCCTCTAGCACCATCTACATATTGATTGAGAGAGCTTTTTTGAACACACTTAACAAATTCCTCTCCATCCAAGCTCTTAACATTATGGCAGTCTCAGACTATGTTTGGAAGTTAAAATACCCTACTGTTACAAACCTATTATTCTGGCAGCTATCTGCGATCTCCTACATATTTGTTCCTGTTTCCCACTGACTGCTGTGGGGTCTACAGTACAATCACATCAAAGTGATCGCCTACTTCTTACTTCTCAGTTCCATTCACATTAGCTTCACTGGACCATTGCCTAGGAATATCCTCTCTAGTATTGCTGTAATGTTTTCCCTAATCATAAGCACTACTTCCCCTCCTCTCTTCCTGCCTTTTATCCTTCCGCTGGCATCTATATCCCAAAATATTGAGCTGTCAGTCCTGTCCCTCCCTCAGCTCCTACCTATGACACTCTCTGCCTCCCATGTCCTCCTCAATGCATCCAAGTGCTGCCCCAACTGATCCATGTGGTCTGAGAGGAGTTGCAGTTAGAACACACTTCCTGCAGACATAATCGCCGGGGATGGTCGACTGCTCTCTGATCTCCCATATCTGACAGGAGGAGCATAACACTCCACTGACTGCCATCTCTGTCCCTTTAACAACCAGCAGACTTGGGGGAAAGAAAATGTCTTACCTTTACCTTGTTGTTGTTCACCTTCCGCAACAAAGTCTGGTATTCACTTAGACCCTCTCTTAGATCTAACCAACTGCACCTTGACCACAAAGCAGCCACTTGCAAAAGTGGCCGGAATAAGAGACAACAATGCCTCCCTCCCTCATTGCCTAAACACTCAAGTAGCTCAACTCCCAGCATATGCACACTCTCTTGCTGGTTGCACACTTTCTCTATATTTTAGTTTTTTCTCAGAGTTTGGATTTAACTTGTGAGTTTTAGTCTGTGTCTGAAGATGTTTAATAATTGTAAATATTTTGAAAACAGTCTGAGACAGGGAGTTCTTGAAGGCTAATGGGAATTTGTTTACACTAGGAGAGTTTTAGAGCGAACAAAATAAACAGTTGTGCTTTGGGCTTTCAGTTTAGAAAATCAAACATTGCTTTTTTTTTTGATTAGGAAAAATATCCGCACCTTCAAGAAAGCCCTTAGTTTGTTTGACTGGATTTGCAGAAATCTTGCCTTAAGCAAATGCGTAAAAGTTGCTTTTAAAGAAGGGAGATAGTCTATCTCTTAATAGTTCTAAACTATGTCAAAATTTGAAGGCCTAGAACAGAAGTATTTGCTTAAAATCCTAAAGAGCTTATGTGAAACTGAGAAAATCTAAGTCTAGATGTATGAAGATTCAAGGAAAAGTCTAACAGTTCCCAAGATTGGGAATTGAAGGCACTGTTAAAGTAAGCCCTATAAGATATATTGGAGAGGGCAATTCTCTCCGTGAGCAAATGAATGCTTTCGGGATTAATGAGATTGTATTTTGCTGTGTGTTTTGAAATCTTTTGAGTTACACTTTATGTAGTCACTTTGGTTTATTCTGTTTTATCTTCTTTTCTTTTGCATAGCCAACTTGATTTTGTTGTTCAAACCAAATTTGCAGCATTACTTGCTTGTGTTTTGGTGAAAAATCACCTAGTTTAAAAACCTAAAACAATTTATGATCTATCAAGCCAGATTTCAGTCTAGGATGTAACTTGTCCTATAGTGCTGTCAGCTGGGATCATAACACGTTTACTTCAAGTCAGGGAAGCATAACTTGTGTCTTTTTTATGTGACTTGTGCTTTTTAAGACTTTCTTTGATGTTCTGTACTTTAATTTTCTTTTAGAAGGGAATATAATTTGATATCAAGAATTTAAAATGGTGTCATAAAGCTATATGCATATAAGTATGGAAGGGTACACCATATTAAGGGTTTGACATCATTGACATGTGTCCTGTAAAGGATCTCTCAGGATACTATTGATTATGTTCCAAGAACAGGAGTTAAAATGAGAAAGCACACTGAACCCGTAACACTGGAGACAACGTTATAAGTTTCATAACTATCTTGAATAAAATTTAAGAACCTATCTTTTTACAGATTTAGATAAAATACAGTTGTATTTCATGAAAACTTTCTGTATTTCAGATGTACTTGCACCTCAATACCCATGGCAGTCAAATGACATGTCTCTCAACCTATTGCCTCCAAACCACAGCAATGATTTTATGCTGGAGCCTCCTGGACATAACAAAGAGAATGAAGATGATGTGGAAGTTATGTCAACTGATTCTTCAAGCAGTAGTAGTGACTCTGATTGAAACCAAGAGAACATGTCTTTTTCTGTTCAATGTTTGGACTTATAGCATTGGAAATTCATTTTCTTTCCACTGCTCTTCTACTCCTTTCTACCCAATACTGTTGATGCTGACCTGGTAGGAACACATCAAGAAAGTGTACTTTGATGAACATGGATAAAACTTTGCTTTAAAAACAGAAAATTTTTCTTCATGCTGAACTTGTTGTCCAGTGTGAATATCCTTGATTATATTTTATTTTAGTAGAATGTGGTAACACCAGATAGTAAGAAACTGGGCATTATTTATTCTGCAGACTTTCATACCTACTACAGAAACCCAAATAGTTGATTTATTGTTTAACCTAACTGTTTAACATTCATCCACAAGTAGAAATCGGTCATTCTCCCTGGTTACTGCATAAGTGTCCGACGGAGTATTCTAATCCGCTGGATCAGGAAGTTGGCGCTACTGAAGTCATTATGTCCACTGATTGCTGCTACTTGTCCCAGTCTTCACTTCATTCTCATTACCTCACTTGCCGTCTGTTTTGTTGTCATCCTGTCTAACAGCTAGTGTGAGATGCAAGCCAAGAATAGAATAGAATAGAATCCCTACAGTGTGGAAACAGGCCCTTCAGCCCAACAAGAAACAAAACAAAACTTTATTGCAATGATACGTGAAACTGGAATGAGGAGATTTAACTGCCTAGGACACATTAAATGAACTCTGGTCATGCATTTTTTACTTACAATGTGATAGGTTAAGAAATTGAGTGTATCGCTGTTAGCATTTGCAAGCAGTCCACCAGTGTATGCAATACAGTACAATATTACTTATCCTTATCTTATTTGGACTTATTAGAGATAGTCAGCATGGTTTTATGCTGCAGAGATCTTGTCTCTCAAAATTGAGTTTTTTGAAGAAGTGACAAAGATGATGAAGGATAGGGCAGTGGATGTTGTCTACCTGGATTTTATTAAAGCATTTGACAAAGTCCCTTATGGTAGGCTGGTCCAGAAGATTCAGTCACATGGATCCACAGTGAGTTGGCAAGTTGGATACAAAATTGGCTTGGTCATAGAAGATAGAAGATAGAAGGGAGTTGTGGATGGGTGTTTTTTGATTGGAGATCTGTGACCAGTGGTATTCCGCAATGATTTGAGCTGAGACCTCTTTATAATATATATAACTGATTTAGATGAAAATGTAGATGGTCTGATTTTGGAGTTTTCAGACAATACACAAGTTGGTGAACTTTGTGGATAGTGAGGTGGTTATGAAGGGATACAGCAGAATAAAGATCAGTTGGAAAGTTGAGCGGAGAGATGACAGCTAGAGTTTAGTCCCTGGTCCACTTGTCCAGACGAGTGTGAGGTGATGCATTTTGGAAAGTCAAATGCAAGAGAAAAGAAAAGAGTAAATGGCAGGACCCTTAGAAGCAGTAATATTAGAAGAATGTTGGGGTGCAAGTCCATAGCTCCCTGAAAGTGGTAACATAAGTAGATAGGTGGTAAAGAAGGTATACGGCATGCTTGCCTTCATTGGTTTGGGTATTGAGTATAAAAGTTGGCAAGTCATGTTGCAACTGTATAAGATTTTAGTTAGGCCATATTTGAAGTATTGTGTGCGGTTCTGGTCACCACACTATAGAAAGGATGTGGAGGCTTTCAAGAGGCCGAAGAAGAGGTTTACCAGAATGTTGCCTGAATTGGAGTGTATTAGCCATAGAGAAAGGTTGGACAAACTTAGTTTGTTTTCCATAGAGCATCGGAGGCTGAGCGGCAACCTAATAAATGTATTTAAATTGAGAGGCATGGATAGGGTGGATAGTCGAAGTCTTTTACCCAGGGTGGAAATGTTAAATACTAGGGGGCAAAGGTTTAAGGTGAGAGGGGAAAATTAAAGGAGATGTGTGAGTAAACTTTTTATATGCAGAGGGTGGTAGGTGCCAGAACACGCTACCAGGGGATAAAGCATCACCAAGAAGATATGTTAACAAAGTTTGAGGAGTTTAGACAGACACACGAACAGGCAGGAAATAGAAGAATATGCATCATGTTAAGCTGTGTGGGATTTGTTTCAAATAGCGTTATGATCAGCACAGACATGGTGGGCCGAAGGGCCTGTTCTTGTGCTGCACTTGTTTAGTGTTCTACCTGTTGGTTCCATTCAAGTACATTCATAAGTCAATTTATATGCAAGTTGGAATGCAATACAGTACAATATAAACATCTGTTCGTAAGTACAAATGAATGTTCACAGATCCTCAATAGTAAAATGAAACCTCATTCTTTAAGTCGCACAGTCATAAGTCAGGCACCACCTCTATCTGTGTTAATTTATTCTCTTGTCAATGTTTTGCTTTGTACACTGAATGTGGGGTTAGTTTTAGCGTGAAGCCACCTGCAGCATCCCTGACATTAATGTCACAGGCACTAACTACATGTGCAGTGAGTGCGCCCCTGCAATTGCAGTGAAGAAATAGAATAATTTTCATCTGTTATAATAGAAATTCTTGTTCTGAGGTTGTGTAAAAATACACTATTGAGATAGGTTGATGAGATTGCACTTTGTATCTTGGTGTGTTACACCAACCTAAAAGTGAATAATTGCCAGTGGACATTTAAAATACCATTTTCAAACTCCTACCTTCTCAAAAGTTGACGCTATTAAACTTGGCAAGCCCCATAAAAATTTTGTTCAAAGACAACTAGAGGAACTATTACATTGTGATATTGAAACAAATTTTCCACAATAATGCAAACTAAACCAGTCATAAACATTGTTTTGGAGATGTACATTTCATAACATAATGATGCAATAAATATGTTGTAAATAAATTATGGAAAACTATCTTTTATATTATCAGCAAGTTATAGTCTTCACATATGTACTGAGGAGATTAGCGCTTAAAAGTCTAGACAGCTGAAGACACGACAGTTATTGGTTAGGTAAAGGATGCCATGGATGTATAGAATGTCAGTTTAGAGGAATGAATAATTCACAAAGGAATGTTAGGCTGAAGGAGGTTGTGGATTTGGGAAAGGAACGAGGCCATGGAGGAATATGAACACATGGACTTGTCTTTCAAATTTGAACTGTTTCGAGGATTGAGAGCAAAAGTAGTGAACAAGACTTGATAAATATTAGAATATTGACGGAGGTTTGGGTTAAATATTAAGAGTCAGAGTTTTTACAGGAATGAAAAGAGGCCATTTGGCCTATTGTGTTTGAGCTGGCCATCAAATAACTATTCTAATCCCATTTTCCAGTACTTGGCCCCTGGTCTTCTATGCTATAGCATTTCAAATGCTCATCTAAATAGTTCTTAAATCTTTGAGAGTTCTCACCTTTATCACCCTTTTAGGCAGTGAATTCCAGATACTCCCAACCCTCCGAGCAAAATTTGTTTTCCTCAAATCCCTTCTAAACCTCCTGTTCCGTACCTTTAAATTGTGTGCCCTAGTATTGACTCCTCCACTAAGGCAAAGGTTCTTCCATATCCACCCTGTCCATGCCCGACAGAACTTCGTACACCTGAATCGGATTTCCCCTCAGCCTTCTCTCCAAGGAACACAACTTCAGCTGACCTAGTCTCTCTTCATAGTTCCAACTCCAGCAACATCTTGGTGAATCTCTTGTGCATCCTCTTGAGAAAAATCACATCCTTCCTACAGTGTGGTGACCGTAACTATACGAAGTTCTCTAGCTGTGGGCTAAGTAATGTCACTGGCTGGCCAGCATTTCTTGCCCATTCCTAGTTGCCCTGGAGAAGATGGTGGGGAGCTGCCTTCTTGAACCACAGCAGTTCACCAGCTGTAGGTTGACCTACAATGCCGTTAGGGAGGGAATTCCAGGATTTTGACCCAGTGATGGTGAAGGAATGGCAATATATTTCCAAGTCAGGATGGTGAGCAGCTTGGAGGGGAACTTGGAGGTGGTAGTGTTCCCATATGTTTGCTGCCCTTGTCCTTCTAGATGGAAGTGGTCGTGGGTTTGGAAGGTGCTGTCTGAGGATCTTTGATGAATTTCTGCAGTGCACCTTGTAGATAGAACACACTACTACTGAGCGTCAGTGGTGGGGGGAGTGGATGCTTGTGGATGTTGTGCCAAACAAGTGGGTTGCTTTTTCCTGGATGGTGTCAAGCTTTTTGAATGTTGTTGTGGCTGCACTCATCGAGGCAAGTAGGGAGCATTCCATCACACTCCTCTTGTGCCTTATAGATGGTGGACAGGCTTTGAAGAGTCAGGAGGTGAGTTACTCGCCGCAGTATTCCCAGCTTCTGGCCTGCTCTTGTAGCCACTCTGTTAATGTGGTGAGTCCAGTTGAGTTTCTGGTCGATGATAACATCCTGGGGGGTTGATAGTGGGGGATTCCATGATGGTAACACCATTGAATATCAAGGGGTGGTGGTTAGATTGTCTCTTATTGGTGATGGTCATAGCCTGGCATTTGTGTGGCACGAATGTTACTTGCTGCTTGTCAGCCCAAGCCTGGATATTGTCCAGATATTGTTGCATTTGCACACGGACTGCTTCAGTGTCCGAGGAGTCACAAATGGTGCTGAACATATTGCAAACATCGGCGAACATCCCCACTTCTGACATTATGATGGACGGAAGGTCATTAATGAAGCAGCTGAAGATGCTTGGGCCGAGGACACTACCCTGAGGAGCTCCCGCAGAGATGTCCTGGAGCTGAGACGATTGACCTTCAACAACCACGACCATCTTCCTATATGTCAGGTATGACTCCAACCACTGGAGATATTTGCTCTAGATACCCATTGATTCCAGTTTTGCCAGGGCTCCTTGATGCCACACTTGGTCGAATGCCGCCTTGATGTGAAAGGCTGTCACTCTCACCTCACCTCTGGAATTCAGCTCTTTTGTCGATGTTTGAAAAAAGACTGTAATGAGATCAGGAGCTGAGTGGCATCACTGAGCAGGTTATTGCTGACGAGGTGCTGCTTGACAGCACTGCTGGTGATGCCTTCCATCATTTTACTGATGATCGAGAGTAGACTGATGGGGCGGTTATTGGCCAGGTTGGATTTGTCCTGCTTTTTGTGTACGGGACATACTTGGGCAATTTTCCACATTGCTGGGTAGATACCAATGTTATAAATATACTAGAAGAGCTTGGCTAGGGGAGCGGCAAGTTCTGAAGCACAAGTCTTTAGTACTATTGCTGGAATGTT